CAGCCACCGCTGATACCAGATGCAAACCGGAATTAGCTGCAAAATAAGAAGTTTGCAAAAAAAAAAAATCACATTAGTAGCAACGGGTAAAAGGATTGAACTGATCGGTTCACTATGAGATACTAGTCAGTCTCTTGCGACCCAGTGTCGCAAATGGGGGTGTTCGTTACGGGTGCCTACAGAAATTTCACAGCGAATTTCATATCAGTTTTTTGCTGGGGTTGCGTTGACATGGATGTTACAATGTAGGCCCATGTAGCTACTTTTCGCTTGCTTTAACGGTCAAACGGTTGGAAGCATTAAACGTTTCTGTGAGGAAATCGACACAGCTTTACAGCGGGAGGCAAATACACCATGGTCCTCGGAGACTTTAATCTCAAAATGGGGTGAATCATTGGTGGGAAGAATTTACCGCGCTCTGCTGATTGAGGTAAAGAAACGTCAGAGGCCAAAGTCCAGATTCTGTTGACTGTTTTCATTTCAAAAGATGTCATAAAGCACCTGACACGACCAAATAGTGAATCTTTTGTTACGACGTCAATTTCATCTTGAGAAACCCATCTTGAAATAAAATTGGCTTTCTTGCTGATGAGAGGCGAAACTGGCTACAGTTTGTTGTCTGTCGTCCCGGATACTTTTTAACCATCGTTACGTGACAGCCAGAATGAGAATCGATTCCCGTAACGAAGATCGAATTCACAAAAAATTCCTTTCGCATTTTAGGCAAAATAGTGTGCCCCGGCCTTTTTTTGCAAGGCCATTAAAAAGGTCCGCTCAATTTTTAAAAAGCAAAACCCAATGAGAAAGATACATGGTTTTTGTTAGCATTCCTAAAACGACAGCTTTTGCTGATCAATAATTTATGTGCTCTATCAATGCACTGCATAATTTTAGAGCGTCATGCTTTTTGTTAGCTGATTTGTGTTTCGTTTTCAGCTTTTCGCTATCTTTTTTTAGTTCGTAACTTTTTAGGCCACTAATTCTGGACGATCACAATTACTTTTTGGATGAGGAAACAGAAATAGCGCCCCATCTGATGCCTCCGCCGAGAATGGTTGATGCTGATGGTGCCGTCTATGAGGATGACATACAAGCGCTGGTACCTGGACGCGACCTTTCGATAAAAGTAATCTTTTTTGTGGGAATTCTTCTCTCGCACCGACAGTCCACATTTTAATTTTCATGCATTTACGCATAGACAGGCGCAGCCGCTTTACTTGTCCCTACTTCCCAAAGAAGACAATTTTGGTTGCACTGAAAATAAATGGGTGGAGGGAGGGAAGTTTACGGAGGCGGATGGGGGAAAGGGAACGGGGCAGGGGAGGAAGGGAGGGAGGGATCACACTGGAGGCAACAAATAATAAAAATTTACGAATAACATGAAGTTATGTTACTTTTTACTGGTAGAGGCAGTGAACCCGTTTGCAGGATGACAACAATGGCGAAGAGCTTGATCCACCGTGGTTAAACCGCCAGATGGTGCGCGCTTTGCCAAGATCAGTTATTGAAGCTACAAATCTCCGCTTAACCGAATTACGGCACCGCGAAGAAAATGTGCTGGAGCGTGAGATGAGCCGTGTACAGCCACGC